AAGGTAAGGAAACAGGACAGGTCCGCGACGTAGGAAGTGGTGGGTGAAGGGAGTAGTCAATGCGAGCCATTCTGAGTGCGGGAACTGTTTATGACGATTAGATTAAAGTATCTGCAATTCTAAAATGCTATGGGAAGGTAAGGAAACCGGTCCGCGACGTAGGAAGTGGTAAAGGAAATAGTAAAGGTGAGCGGTCTGGAGTGTGGGAACCGTTTATGACGATTAGATTAAGGTATATACCATCCTAAAATGCTATGGGAAGGGAGGGAAACAGAGGTCCGCGACATAGGAAGTGGTGAAGGAAGTAGTAAAGGCGAGCAGTGTGGAGTTTGGGAGTGGATTAATGTATCTGCAATACTATACTGCTTTCAGAGTAAACTAATGACTTTCCCCGAGCAAAGCTCGGTCCCCAGGTACTGTATTTCTTATGGGGAAAACCCAACCTTTCAGAGGACCTCACGCTCTTAAGAGTAGGAAATTCTTAAAATTCTAAAACCTTATTGCAAAACTACATATTGAGACGAATCTTTTGACACCTTGAACGTTGAAATTGGTCTACAAATAAGGGGGGAGGGGGGAGTTGCGTTAACAAAAAACGGCTTCACGTATTATATATATAGATTTAGGTGTTTTATATCTGACAACACTGATGTGTAGGAAAAGAAGGAAATACTTATACGAGGCTTCTGTGTCATTACAAGAAAATATTTATAAAAACCTTTTATGGTACTGTACATTGAAAATTTAAATATTATCATAGATTAAAAGAAGTAGACATCTATACTCCTTTTATCTATGATATTATCAACTAAGAATTGTAGTTGAAGGCGGCCGTGATATAACACTACCGTACTTCGGTTTACATCTATGTATGTTCATAATTTACGTTGGCCGAGTTTTGTCCATAGATCTCTCCTCTAAAATACCCGGTTTTAATTTGAATGTTGAATTTTTTTTTTATTTAAAACATTTACAACTAGAATTTATTTGAAAACCTTGAAAATGTCATTATAGAACAAACAAGACACTATTTTATTCACTCATATTATTGACTATTTATTTTTTATTTATTTATTTTTTTTACTCACTATTTTATTGAATAAAGGAAAAACTAAATGTGTACTACACTTCAAAATGTTTTCATTATTTTTAAAAATATATATATATACAAATTCGAAATTCAAATGAATAGTGTTTTTGGTCTTTGGGGCGACATCAAACAGAAAAAGTAAACCGGTCTGAGATAAAATGTTTTTTTTTCTTTCAATGCCCCTTTTAATAGCGATTTAAAATCTTAATAGTGATGACTATCTTCCCTATCAGGGAAATTGGCTAATTAAAACTCCAGTAATAATGCACACATTACTTTGCATATTATAGGTACCAATTGAATTGTAAATAAAAATATTATAGTAAGAAAAATCAAACCCTTGTGATCTATTTGAAAGAAAGACATTATAAATGCAAATAATTATATATATTAAGGAACGCGGCAGCGTTCCGCCCCGCCAAGTCCCCCAGCGGTACACAGCTGCTGCAGTGTATATATACATGACGTGACAAAGTGGCTTTTTTACTCGTCTATAGCTCTGAAGAAACAAAAGCTATTAAAATAATTGTTCATCCCCTGGATAGGGGCAATCATTCTTGGCAAAATAAAAAAAATAATTTAAAAAAAGGTTGTGTTTGAGCCAAGAAAAACTAGTTTGAAAATTCACAAATTTTCCGTGTTCTCCTTCTTCTCCTTAAATGTTGACGGACCTACAGCCCAAACCACTGGCTCAATTTTAATGTTTTTTATGTTGTTTGAAAGCCCTTAGCGTGTAGATGTGCCTTTTGAGGGTCACAAGTCGGTGCGTTGACCCATAAACCCTTGGCAAGCCCTCAAAGTACGATTTTGGCCCATTTAAATAACATGGGATTAAAATCAAAACAAAAGAAGGATCAGCTGCGATTAAATCTCAATTAATTTAAAATGTTAGAGAAATTCATAGGATCAGCTGAAAAATTATTTTAAAACTTTTATAAAGTATTTTTTCAGGTATACCGAATGATTTGAGCTACTTACTATATAAAATTACTTAGAGCAGTGATATTCCCCGATACTTTCCATTGAAAAATGCAGTGTACCGATGGTACACTGGTACAGCAGCTCGTCATTTTTAACAGTTTAATACTACTTATCAAAACATATGAAACCTAGGAACTTGAAACTTAGTACTAGTCCTAAGGTTAGTTTTAACATTGTTTCTTCATAATATTGCCAAAATTTATTTAACTAAATAAGGTTAGTTTTATGTTTTGATACACTAAAACAAATAAAACAATCGGGAAAATCCGTCTACGTATGTTAAACAAGCAAAAAAGTGAATGTAAAAAGTGATATGTAAATTTAGGATAAAAATGAGTTTTTCAATATTTGTTTTGCCTTATGCTATTTCTAACAAACCTAATCTGTTTGATTACATTTTTACTTCTCTAATAAGGGCTCAATTTACACTAGTCTTTAGATATACGGGTTTAATTATCGGAACACTTATGTAACACCAATGCATTTTATGTGTAGTTGTGCCCTGGTCTATATATAAGAGAAAAGAGGATTTTTATTTTAACTGTTAATTTTCTACAAAAATAAATACAATCTAACAAAAAACCACTAAGTGGTAACACTTCCCCCGCCAAGTCAGCAACCCAAAAAAGACAATAAATCACCACTTTTCCGCCAAGTAAAACAATGTAATGTATGTAAGTTTGGCCACTTGGCGGCAGACTTTTGCTTGATCACTTTAAAAAATACCATAAAATTAGTTTCATTGAGCAAGTATCTCTCCCAATAGTACATTGCTAGATGAGAGCTTATTTTACAAAATTTGACCTTATTTGTGTCACATTTCATAAAATCATAATAGTGATGGTTTTATATTTACTGATTACCTCGAAATTATTATACTTAGTTGGACTAATTAATTAGAGAAGTTGATATGTGAAATTATCCACTAACGTAACTTTAATGAAAAAAAACAAGCAAAAGTCTGCCGCCAAGTTGCCAAACTTACATACATTACATTGTTTTACTTGGCGGAAAAGTGGTGATTTATTGTCTTTTTTGGGTTGCTGACTTGGCGGGGGAAGTGTTACCACTTAGTGGGTTTTTGTTAGATTTGATTATATGTTCAGACAAATAATATTATATTTGTATTTGCCTGTGGATCCAATATAAAATGTTTTCAGAACAACGTAATCCGTATTTATAGTATAACTTATACATAAACACCTTTGAAGGATGGTTGGTGGTTATTGATTTATAATGTATGGTAACAAAAATAAATTTTGCTGATAAATAAATTACTAATTTATGCAATGTAAGGCAAAATTAAGCATTATAATAAATTTGTGAAATTATTTGAGGGAGAAGAGTAATACATTATTAAGCGTCAGAAAAACACACTTTATTTGAAAAGATTACAAAAGTTAAAAAGTTTACCTAATTTACATAATGAGGGTTAACTGTTTTTATATGCTAATCTATGCATGCATTAGGTTAGTAACTCATATATTTTCGATGTTTCTAACTACAGTACCCTATATTCATCACATATGATGGATCTTTAAAAAAATGTCAGTTACAAAATAATTTAAACTTTTTATATGAAACAACTTTTTTAAATCTATGAAGAGCGTTTTTATGTCTGACTCAGAATCAGAACCAGAAACTTTATGGCCATTGATCAAATACAGGTAGGCTACATGTATATACCCCATGGATGACAAAATACCGAACAACAAAAATAATACATTAATAACGTAGGAATGATTTTTAAACCACCTAATTAATTTAAAAAGTATATTTTTTTGGACGGACAAATTGATAAATATCTCCAACTTTTTATTACCTTGAAACTAATAAAAATTTTTAAGAGTCAAGAAGAGGAAGTAAAACATATACATTAGTTTCAAGGATCTAATTTTAAATTTTAATACTTAAAAATACCTAATAAGTAAATACTACTAAAGTTAACTTTGGAACTACTGTATATAGTTCTTAATCCTTGAACAGGGGTGTTTTTAAAATATCCAACTGTTAACTAAATAATCACAAATATATAAACAATATACAACAGTCTACTAATTGAACAACAATGCATAAAAAGTAAATAAATAAATGCATTACATGTATGCCTACACAATGTAGTTCGGTAACTTTTGTTCACCACAGTGCTTTTCTAATTGTTCCAAAGTAAAAAACAAAACATATTGTGTGGCCAAGCTATGGTGGAAACAAGATACAACTCTGAACATCAACACTAAAAATGCATTATTAAAATCTATTGTAAGAGTTCCAGTAAAAAACTTGAATTATTGAATGAATGTAAAATAACACTGCACTTGTGATTTTCTTGTCTTATATCAAATGATATATTTCATCACAGTGGCATAAAGTAACTCTTTTCGACCTTATGATCCCAGAAGGTGTGTTAAATATTGCAACATCCTACTAATATTATAAATGAGAAAGTTTGGATGGATGGATGTATGGATGTATGGATGTATGTTTGTGACAAGTGAACGCGAAAAATACTGGTCGGATTGGGCTGAAATTTGGCATGATGATAGCTCACATTCCCGATTAACATATAGGCATATTCTTATTTCAAAAATCCTTTCGGGCTCCGCCCCAGTGGCTCTGGAGTTTCCCATGTTAACCTTATGAGAAATGAAATTATTGAATCTTAACAGCTGTTTCAATTAAACAAGTTGGTTCTGTTCTGTGATGTTCAATAGCATTAAAGTTACAAAAATTACCAACAGGGTGCAGCACTATTATTTCTTTTACATTTATGACAACAGCTAATTTGCAACCAAAAGGTGAGTGAGCGTAGCGAACGAACTTCAACCTGGAGGCGAGTTAGCGTAGCGAACGAGCTAACCTGAAGGCAAGTGAGCGCAGCGAACGAGCTCCAACCTAAAGGTGAGTGAGCGTAGCGAACGAGCTCCAACCTAAAGGTGAGTGAGCGTAGCGAACAAACTTCAACCAGGACGTGATTGAGCCATGCGAACGAGATAATCTTGAAAATTAAGAAGTTAAACGGGGCAAAGCCCGCGGGTTACAGCTAGTTATTTATAAGTTAGAAAACATCAATAATAATTTTAATGTAAAGATAGCCTCTCAAAACAACTTGTTTTTTGTAATTTTAATGCAAATAAGCAGCTGTTCAGTAGTTTACAACAGTACATAAGGTAAAATATCTGATTTTTACTCCCTATGGAGTAAAAGAGCTACTTTAGACCCGCAACGCATGTTATGCTGTAGTATGACGTAATGTTTCTGGAATAAGAAAATATTCTTTTGATAAAACAGTTAAATCGTTGCAGTTAATGTCTACCCTAGTAAATATAAGGAATGCATGTTATTACGCATCAATATCCTACAGACACGCTTCATTTACAATAGAATGTAAAAATTTGTCTGCTGATTTATCATAGGTAAGTAAAGAACACAAGTTGCTTAACAAAGAACTGTTGAATTTTGGTCTTTACACTGAAGATCTTGTTGACATCGGAGACGCCAATCCTCAAACAAGTGAAAATACTGGCAGACATTTCAAATGTTGCCGCTAGCCGCCTTCGGAGCTAAATATAGTTCAACTGAGTTTCTTTCTTCTATTAACCAACTTGTAGACTCCAACATACTTGGCATATCACGTAACAAGGGTTATTTGTCAGTTTGTCCCTCTATCTGTCCAACTAACTTCAGAGTTTCAATTTGAAAATCCCGCAATTGACGCTTATCAAAGCCTGCAATTAGAGGCTTCAAAGTAGCAACCAAAAACTTCATCATTTGTGAATCGTTGAAGTCTTTAATAGTAGGTCTCAAAATCTGAATGAAGTGCTCAAGCTCGGTGTTTGAAGACTTTTCTCTGTCAGCAGGTATATTTATTTGTTCCAGGTTGACAACTTTGACATTCGGAGGCTCAATTTCGTTTGAAGCTCTTGAAGTAGAAACACTAGCGTTTGAAAAGTTTTCCTGTTTTAAAGGCTGCACATGAGGTTTTGATTCTTGATTTTTTTGTGAACTTTTTTCAGGGTTATTCTTTATGGACTGTTTTTTAGGTGTGTGTGATATTTCCTCCCTTCGAGGACTACTTGGTACCTGAGGTGGAGCTTGGGTCCTACTTATCTTTTCAGGTTTCATAAGGTCGTTAGAAGACATTCTGCGCTTACTGGCTTTGAGAAGATTTTCCACTTTCATCCTGTCTTCAACATTCACCACTGTGGTTCTTGGAGCACTGGTTCCCTGTTCATTATTTATGAATTGTACATTTGGGACACCGCCGTTCTCATGTCTCCGCTTTTGTGGAGGCATGTTGAAGTTGTTAGGTGATCTTTTGTTGAAACATCTTATGAGGTCTTGCTGAAAGTTGTCAAAATTAATATTTCCACTACCTGGATCTGCTTGTGGGGAGGGAGGATTTTCCATATCCTCCAAATTTATCGTTACCATCTTTTCGTCATTGGTTGATTGAAGATTGTCATATTTTTCATATACTTTGGCCAGAAACTTGAGTTTTTCATAACGAGCATTTTCTTTAATCTCAAGATTTTCTCCCGTTTGCATTGCATCTTTCCGCTTCCTGTAGTTCCTCTGCCACACGTCCCGAGTAGTTGTCCATTTCTGCTTCACCATTTTTTCTGAAAATTTAAAATATATAAGTACAAAACTGTTTACTGAATCATGCAAAGAACAAATTCAAACTCAATATTGTGACCACCTTTGATTACAATTTGATTAATCAACAAAGGTAAACAAAAAAATATTTATATTATAGCAACCTAGAAGTCACAGAGGCTGATAATGATTTTATCTTTTTGTTACGTATATTATTATTTAATTTGAAATTATTCATCTGTTGGGTATTTTTGGAAAAAGATTTACAGTATTATGTAGCAAGTTTTGTGGAATAAACCATTCATTCCTAACAATATTTACTCGTACTTCAGCTAAGATTGAGGAAGAAGTATCTATTAATTTTATTCCATCTGTAAGTACTGGTACAATTTAATTCAGTTTAATAATTATTTTTTTTTTTTTTCAAAAATAACCATGTTTTTAAACACATTGCAGCAATTTCTCAAATACCTGTAAAAGGATTTGAATAGAGAATGTCATTTTCGTGTTCAACATAAAATTTTTAGTAAGAATAATAGAAAATGGATAGGATCAATAATAAAAACTCCATTGTAAAGTTCCAAAGATTAAAATTAAGATCTATAATAAAATAAAAAAATATAAATAAATTTAAAAAAACATTGGTATATTGCATTTTTCTACACCCTGTATACAAGAAGGTAGCAAACTGTTAAAACTGCGCCATTTTATATGCTTTCCAACCATATGCTACACTGCAGTATTGAACTTGACGTGCTTTATGTTGCTTTAGTGATTTGAAGACTCCAAAACATGGTGTTTTTAACATTTTAAATAGATAGTAGGTATGTATTCAGCAAAACTTGTATTTTTTCAGTTTGAACAGTAAAAACAGCAAAAATTAAGTTCCCTGTTTTCTATTATTCTGTTGCTAATAAATTTATTAGAAAAATGGGTATGTGTGATCAGGTGTCTAGGGATACCCTACTACTGCAGGTACGTAGGTTCGTGGTGCCTAGCTGTGTTTTGTCAGCCCGACACCAGAAAGCGTGTCGGGTAGTCGTACTGTGGTAACCTTGGGGTCTCGGCCCAAGCGGCCAAGGTTAGTGACTTAGTGTACTAGTGTGCACTTGCATTTTGCAACAATGTTCTCAGAAAGGCACGCATATCACCCGCACTATCCACCCGCGCAACCGTCACTCTGAGCTATACCAATACCACAGATAATAGAACACCATTGGTTCCTTTGTCTATGGCTATACGCTAAAGCTATCATGGCCCAGGCTATAACCCCGAATCGCACTAGCCAGTGGGTCGTGGGCGAGAAGAGCTCGTTCAACTGCTGTGGTATACCCCTGCCACTCCGTGGAAATGCAGAGCTTTCGTTTTAAACTGATTCACTGATTGCATACGCTGTATACAAGTTAAGAACAAACTTAAGGTCTCGTTTGAAAGCTTAACAGTTTATCTACCTTTCCCTGTTTTTTTTTTTGAATTTCTTAAAACTACCAAGGAAAGTATAAAAGACGAATCAAATTGTATGGAAATTGGTACTTTTCAAAGTAAAATTGGAGGTGCAAACATATTTTTTAATTTTAAAAACTACAGAAAGGTAGATTCAAATGTGCCCTTCAATAATTAGTTTAGTTTATTTTAATAAAGCATTACGAGTGTAAAGGGTAAAAACACAGTGGAGCAGGGCAGGTAGCTGGCAGCCTGGCTGGTCGCTTACTGCTGGTTACCTGGAGGGTAGCTGGGACATATGCCCCCAGTACACTCTCGCCGAGGCAAGGCGAGCGTTGGCGAGTGCGAGCGAGAGTGTACTCGGTGCGCTCGTCTTCTCTCGCCTCGACTCGGATCGCCTCGCCTCGCCTAGCCTCGTGCTCGCCGGCGCTCCATCTGGAGTCGGTTTTTTGGCACGAGTCAAAGGACCCGAGACTGCACGAGTGGCGAGCGCTACTTCCACATCGATGTTTGCTTCCATTTCGACTGCGAGACAAAGCGAGAGTGTACACGGTTACCTCGCATAAGCTCTCGCCCGAATTACTCGGCGAACGCTTCGGCGAGGCGCCTCGGCGAGCGTCTCGGCGAGAGTGTACTACACACAGTAGCGCTCAGTACAGTCGCTTGTCAGCCGCCGATACTAATATTATCACTTATAATATTAGTGGTACAGGATAAACTTTTGTTTGAATCCTAGTTCATTCGCTATTTCATTCTACAGATCGTTGAGTACGTGACGTTTATGGTGGTCCGGATGGGCTTGTTTCCACAATGACACACGGATAATAACCTCTGATATTAATTTGTCTACGTCCATTATTTTATTTCATGTAAGCAAAACAACTTCCAAATAAATCAACTAAAACAAACAACACAACGTATACAATACAAAGAATGCGCAGTGAAAGGTCTCACGTGGAAATTGCGAACTGGAGAACACGTGGCTGTCAAGTTCTGCTATTTGCGCATGCCCCAGTCGAGCCTTCCCCACTTGCAGCTCCCAAACAATCGACTTGGCAATTCTTCTAGCTTGCCGCCTAGCTTACTGCTACCCTCTCGGCTACCTGCTAGGCGCGACTGTGTGCGTACCCATAACAACGCGTGCTTTAATTCTACATCGCAGTAAGCGATTAAGCGACCCGCCAGGCTACCAGCTACCTGCCCTGCTCCACTGTGTTTTTACCCTAAAACGAACCGTCTGCAAGCCAGCAAGCCCAAATTTTGCTGCCGTTTGGTGGTGCTCGTCTGCTCGTAGCGGCCAGACAGCGTAACTCTTGCGACGCGCCCCACCCCTGCCTTTCCGTTTCCCTTCATCCGGTGAGCACACATGTGGTTGAATTGAAGTTTTGACATTTCGGTACAGCTGTGTTTGTGAATTGTTGGAAAACATTTGTATGTTATAATTTTATTTTGTAAGTTGTTACGATGTCACCAACACGCAAAAAGAAAGGACTCTACCTCTCTTCAAAACGAAAAAAAAATTACGGAAACAATTTGAGAAAACGTCCTAAGGATAATTGTGGAAGTGTTTGGTAAGTGTACAACAATATCTTACAATTTGTAACGTTATATTTGAGTTTGACTTTGATAATTTGTTACTATAGTTGCAATTTAACATTTCATCTGAAAACCCCCCAAGATTCTAAAATAGTCTTACTAATTTACAGTGAAAAATGAGATAGAAAATATCAGTGTCATAGTATTTGTATCAGTGGCGGTTCCAAGGGGGGGGGGGGGCTTGTACCCTGGAAAAATTAATTTAAACATACATTTCGTCCTTAAAACACGCAATGTTATTATAAAACAGACATCAATATAGTTTTTATTAAACTAAATAAGCGATGGCAGGAGTAGGCCTAGTATTAAGTTCCACATAGATAAACTTTGTGAGGCAATAGCACAACGAATAAAACAATATTATAGCAATCGGCTCTCAGCTGACGCGAGCGAGCGCGACAGCGAGGACGGGGAAACAGCTGATTTCATGTCCCTAGTTGTCAAATTTTCTGCTAGCAACTAACTTACACACACAGGCATCAGCCATCAGCGGTAGCACCAGTAGCCAGTAGCCTCGTTGACTATATAAACACTAGTGTTCCAGTTTATACAGGGTGTTTCAGTAAAGCGTAGCGGGCTATGCAGATTGAGATTCGACATGCAAAAATAAGTCGAAAATGTAGAATAGCCTAACTTTTTTTCGATTTCGGCTTAGTTTGGCCGTAATCCGCCATTTTGTATTTTTTGAAAATAATAACTCAAAAACCCTTGGAGATTTTTTATGAAACTTGGTACAAACTTCAATTCTACAGGTATAGGCCTAAACATTCTCCGAAAATATCTTTGATCAGGCTCATCGAGTTTCAAAATGGCGACAATTAAAAATTTTTGTTTTAATGGCCGGTTTTCATTGAATTTTACTTAAAAAATTTTAAATGGTCGCCATTTTGAAATTTGGTGAGCCTGACAAAGATCTTTTCGGAGAATGTTTATACCGGTAGACTTAAAGTTTATACCAAGTTTCATAAAAATATCTCCAAGGGTTTTTGAGTAATTAATTATTTTCAAAAAAATACAAAATGGCGGATTACGGCTAAACTAAGCCGAAATCGAAAAAAAATTATTCTACATTTTCGACTTATTTTTGCATGTAGAATCTGAATCTCCATAGCCCGCTACGCTTTACTGAAACACCATAGTCAATGTTATTACTGAATTTTGTACTATACAGACACATCAATAAAATGGAGAAAGACTTAAGGTTAAAAACGTGTCTACTTGCTTGCATGACATATAACAGGTAATATGGGAGGTTTTTGGACAATTGGATACAGTTCTAGACGTTAAAAATGGCTTTATAAAGTCACCAAACGGCTTTTAGGAGACATGGCTTTGTAGTCTACAGTAGGCCTATGTTTTGAAATTCATTAATGCAAGTTCGTCTCGTAATAGTTTATTTGTAAGTAAGCAGCATTCTATCATATTTAGTTTAGCGTAGCCTACCCAGTAAAAACCTTTTTAGTACAGAATTGAACGGACACACGCCAACGGAAGGGTCTATGGTCTACGGCACGCCCAGTGATAGAAAAAAAACGGATATTGAAGATTATCATCTAAGTGACAGATTTAAGCTAGGATCGTGGATCATGTTAGTTCCTCCCGAGGTGGAAACTTATTTTGGGAAAACAGAAAGAGAGAAAATGTTGGGAATTGCCCGGAGAGAGTGGTTTATAGTTGGAGGGTAGGACGTTAACTCATATTTCAAAGTTCAACGGCCAGATTTGTGTTTATAATGACGGCCTCTACATAATTAGGTTATATTAAAATTACTGTATACTTAATATTAGTTAAAAAATACCTCGCTAATGCAGGCTAAAAATGATGAATTCTAAATTAAATTATGTTTCAAACAAAAACGTTACTGTTTAAGCTTGGGTACGGGGGTTTTACGGGGTAAAATTTGGTTTTCCCCATTTTTGACAAAAAAAACACAAAATTTAAAATTTCACAATTTCTTTCCTAACTATTTAGTAGAGCTTAAAAA